GAGAGATTGGCCTTTCTTCTTCGTTCGCCATGTTGCTTTAATTACCGCGAGGGCTATTAAGCCTCGTTTCAGTGCAACTTCCGGTTTTTTCTGGAATCGGTGTATTGCAAAAACTGCTTTGCATTGGACGCCAGAAGGAAAACGCAAGAGGGGCCACCCTAAGATCACATGGCGGCGGATGGTGGAGAAGGAAATCAAGGAGATGGGGAAGACCTAGGAAGGCATCAAGTTTATGGCAAGGGACAAATGTGGAGGGAACATATTGCTGCCCTACATGCCACGTAGGCGTAAAGGGCATGAGTGAGTGTGCACTGTAAGTGTATAATTGTAGCTTCTTAACATACCACTCATCTGAAATAGTATTTTTTAGGGGTAGTCCATTTTAGGGTAGTCCATTAGGGTAGTCCATGGACTAGGGGTCAGTGTTTTGTCCATCACCCTTTTCACCCAAATATATGAACCGAAAACTGCACTATGTTCCGTGGAAATTATAAATCGATTCTTTTCTCAATCAGTTTTTGGGATTGCCACAGAGTTGTATCAATTTAACAGCCAGCCTTCTCCCTCTTCCCTTTCTTTCCTACCTGGATACAGCACTCTCCATTCTTGTGAACGTGTACAACTACATCAATAAAAAAGTAATGATTAAATTGTTTTTTGGCTCAATTCTGTTTCCTTTTTAAAGAGCAAATGTTTTTGTAGGCAACATTACGAACTGAGATGGAAAAAGAGATGCTGAAATTACAGAAGAAATTTCTTCAAGAAACCGTAAGTAAAAAGCTGTCCTTATGGGTATGTTCTCCTACCAAATGTCTAATATCACCACGTATGTGGAGAGACCATCGTTAAAGTACTCCCATATACATTGTAAATGATTTATACAGTATAGGGGTTGAGTGTAGTTTGAGTGCAGACTGTTGTTGGTGTGTGGGTGTGTATAAATGTCAACCTGAAGTATTTTTGTTTTCATTTTCATAAGCGCAAGCAGACAGAAGATCACGTTAAGATGGCGTTCAACACTTTGCTGTTTCCTTGAATGTATTCTGAAGAAGCTGTTCTCATCTAAATGAGTATTATTGGTTGTTAATAATGGGTAATAACCATATTGATACTTGATGATTTAACATTACCAATTACAGTATAACTCCGATAAAATGGCCATACTGGGGATGTCTCTAAAACGAAGACCTCTAAAACGAAGATCTAAGACCCTAAGAGCCTAAGGCCCCAAAAACTCTAAAACGAAGACCCCCTAATTTTCTAAGCGTTTTTTATCTTTAGTGAAGTTTTGCTCCTTCTTTATCCGGCCAATAACGCGATAACAACAACAACAAAATTAAACCGCGTTAAGATTTTAACCGCCATCTTTAGCTGAGCAACCAAGCTCTCACACTTTGGCCGGTAGTGGCATTTGTAGTATGAAACCTCCATTTGGTGCTAAAATTCAGGCCCGGGTTGTTCGAAAGGTGGATAGCCTGGGTTTTTTTTTTTAACTGTTATCCACTGGATAGCGATTTATCCGGTGGATAGCGTTATCCAGCCTTTGAACAACTGGGGCCAGATATTTTGTTATATACTCAAAGCCGACTTATTTTGGGAGAACCTTTCTAAAAACTTTTAAACTGTAAAGTATAAATAATTCTGTCAGCGTTCAAAACAGTCTGCAAAAAATGTTTAGTTCTATTCATTATGAAGTATTAGTCAGTATTAAATCAAGGAAACAGTCAAGAGTCCCGTCATTTACGGCTATCTACAGATTTACACGGAAAGATTGCATACCTGGGAGGCTTCGGCGTCCATTCATAAACTACTTTTACACTGACTATATATATGATGATTGCTTCGCAAGAAGCATGAAACTTGGAGTGGCAAGTAAATGTGTTTTAACTAGTTTGACAAATCTTTCTGTCTTGTTCATAGCTTTTTATCTGAAGAAAGCGATAGGCCAAAACGTCATTACACTAGTCGGAACTGACATGGGTTCGTTGATCTCTTTCCGGCAATTTCCAAGTATACATACTTTCTGATCTTCTATGAACTTATACCTAAACCATAGTACAATACAAGGTAACATTCTTTATTTCACATGATGCGACCACTTTCTTGTCTTTTCTGTGATGGCAAAGCACGTGCTCTCTCTTCCTCCACATGATTGACAGAAGGAAGCAAATCGGTGGGTAGCCTAACTTCCGGCCAAGTGTGGGAGCCTGGTTACTCAGCTCAAGATGGCGGATAAAACATTGACACCAATATGATCAAAATTGGCCACATAAAGAAGGAGCAAAACTTCACTAAAGGAAAAAAATGCTTAGAAAATTAGGGGGTCTTCATTTTAGAATATTATGGGGTCTTAGGGTCTTCGTTTTAGAGGTCTTCATTTTAGAGACACCCCCATACTGGTTTAATATCTGATCCACATTATTATTGCAATATTTAGTCTTTTCTTTTTATGCAGAATTGGCTGGATCAAAAATGTTTTCCTGTGGCAATTTGTTATATCGGAGCTGAACTGTACTTATATCTTTAGTTTATGTTCAGTACACCATGCATCTGACATATTTATTGTAGCTGAAACAGCCTTTGTATTTAAATTATGTAGCAATGTAGCAACTTTCTTGCTAAGGTATTGACCCAAGTGCACTGTTATATTGTTATTGTAATTATGCAAAGAAAGTGGAAACGCATTTGAAGTTAATATGTATAAGTTTATTTATTTCTATAGTATTTTTTGAAATACATTGAACAAAGAACGTTTTTGCTCTGAAGATGAGCCTAGAGGAGATTATGGTCTTCAAATAAAGGGTGACGATGATCAAACATATCAAACATTGGAGCAAGTCATGCAAAGAAAATATTTTGCCTGTCTGCATATGAGTAACAGCCATTTGGGATATTTAGGTCCCTGACGAGGGGACTACGAGTTACTTTCAACTTCTTATATTTGTGTCAGTAAATTTAACTGGGAATAAGTGTCAAAAATTAATTGTGGCATATACACCCTCAAACAAAGACTCAGTCACTGCACCACCCCCCCCCCACCCCCCTTCCAAAAAGGTCTCAATCCTTTTACCATATTTATTCGATTAACTGCCTTGAGTGCTCATTGAATTCTTGGACGTTGAGAGTGCGTGCTTATTCAAGGTGGGAGCTTAATCGAGGTTGGGGCTAAATTAAATTTTCACCATTTTCAGCAAGTGTAGTATGTTTATTTTGCACCAAAACAATAAATGGTGATAACAAAATGCGAAGATGTAACAAAGCAAGGTTTCTTTAAAATACTCTGAAGAAAACTCTGTCTTCGGGAAAGTCTCTTGTAAGTACTTATTCAAGTTCAATTTCAATTTTATCATCACTCAAATCAGTAAGTGAATTTTCTGGTGCTGCCTCTTCAATGTCTGACATCTTAACGTGAGCAAATGGGTTAGTAGCCAGAGAAGCAGATAAAGCTTGCTGGAAGGATGTTAGGCAATCTAGGCTGGCATGACAAGGCTGACTTTCCTTTGGGAAATGAATTTGGTCATCTTCAGATCCATCAGGAGCCACAGTGTAAATGCGCAGCTTCTGAAAGAACAAATAATTAACTCTCTATTCAGACTGTTGCAGGCGTCAAGAAGGATGGACATTTATCCAAGTTTGAGTGGGAGAGGCAGGGCGCTTATTAACTTTTACTGCCTTCAGGAATTGGGCACTTATTCCAGGTTGGGTGCTTATTTGAGTAAATACGGTATATTGGGTGAAAGGAAAAACACTTGTTAATGAGATAAATTTAACTTTTTGGATGCCTTGGAAATGTAATTTTAGATACTTGTTAATAGATTTGTGCCTTGCAGTGCAAGACATGGACAGAAAACGAGAAGTGCTTTAATCCATTCAACCGAAAAATCTAGAATTTTGACATTGGGACAAATGGTAAGGAAATTTCGTGAGAAAAATTTCCACAAAATTCGAAAATGCAAACCCTTCACCAGAAATTCTCAAAATTTTGAGGAAAAGTTAAGCTGTATTTTCTGACCAGGGGCATGCTTGAACGTCCCTCCATATCACTCTTCTTGTTATTGTTTGGATCATGCCCTTGTTGTGGCAAGTTATGGTCATAATGGCCCTTTTTTCATACCTGGGACATAATTGTAAAATTAAACGAAACTTACCTAAGTTGAAGTTTGATTGAGATTCTACGAAGTCATTGGTCTGGAGCTAAGGAGTCAGGTGAGATATGCRYGCRAAACYAGAGCGGTCACACTTTAAAGGCGAATGATCAGGACTGTTGTAAATCAGTAGGGTGGGTAGCCCAGATGGGAGGGCACCTGACTCCTTAGCTCCAGACCAATGACTTCGTAGAATCTCAATCAAACTTCAACTTAGGTAAGTTTCATTTAATTTTAGAATTCTACTTCGTCATTGGTCAGTGTCGCTAAGGAGTCACATGAGACTTAAAAGTGTCATGATCATGAGCAAAACCATGAACATCAATCTATTTAATGCAATATAGATGACAATAGGGTGCTGTAACAAGGTACACACCACATCAAAATGTCATGTCTCTTCAAGTAAGCTTACAGTAACAGTAACAATATGGTAAACAATTCTGGTTGAAACAACTGTGTGAAAAGCATTTAACAGCTACTATGCAGTAGTTCATGTCCAAAATTTGCGGAAGTGTCTTGGATGGGCTTGTCATAAAACCAAGCAAAGGTGCTCTCACTACTCCAACCTGCTGCAGACATGGTAGTGTCAATAGGGACCTGTTTCCCCTTTGCAGCTGATGTGGCAGCTGCTCTTGTGCTACGTGCTTTATATACACTAGTGTCAATTCCTGCTTTGGCCATGGCATTCTTGATCCAGTGAGCGATAGTGTCAGTTGACACAGGCTTGTGAGGCTTCTGATAGCCAATCAGCAACTGGTCAGTTTCTCCTCTTAAGTGAGATGTTCTGTCGATATAGGCGTGCAAATGTTGTACAACACACAGGTTCTTCGTATGCCAAAAACTCAATTCGACCTAGGTGCTTGCCCGGCCAAGTGGTCTTGAGTGGTGTTTCAGTGGTAAATACACGTGTTTGCAGTTAAAGTCATTGAGGTCAGATTAAGCGCCTTCAGCGTCTGTACTTTCTGGCCAGACAAGAGGGCAAGCAACATGGTAAGCTTCCAGGACAGATCTCTCAGACTTAAATCCACTCCAAGAGTCCAGGTGGCAAGTACCTTTAGGGCAGAGTTTACATCCCATATTTNAGCCTCGTATGCCAAAAACTCAATTCGACCTAGGTGCTTGCCCGGCCGAGTGGTCTTCAGTGGTGTTTCAGTGGTAAATACACATGTGTTTGCAGTTAAAGTCATTGAGGTCAGAGTAAGCGCCTTCAGCGTCTTTACTCTCTGGCCAGACAAGAGGGCAAGCAACATGGTAAGCTTCCAGGGCAGATCTCTCAGACTTAAATCCACTCCAAGAGTCCAGGTGGCAAGTACTTTTAGGACAGAGTTTACATCTCATATTTCTTTGTATCGCGGGAGGGAAGGCCTACTTTCGAAAACGCCTTTCACAAACCTGGTAACGAGCGGATGGCTACCAAAATGAACACTCCCAGGAAGCACAATAATAGAGGACAGGGCACTACGTGCAGTGTTAATACAGCTGTATCCTACACCAGTAGCAAAGAGGTCTCCACGGAAATTTATGCCATCCTGTAAAGTGGCCTGAAGGGGATTAATTTTCCGTCGACAGCAGAATGATTCCCACTTCTTGTAGTAAGTTTGGTACTGGGTTGTGGTGGCCGGTCTTCAGGACTGCATAATAATTCTGGAAGCTGCTGTCGAAATTCCTTGGCTTTCAAGGGATCTCCAGACAAGTGGCACATCAGCAGCTCCAGTTTTGGATACAGAGGGTGAATCTTTTCTGGACTGCTCGGAAGAAACAGCAGTTTCTTTCTTTTGGGTAGTAGTACTGGATTGTCGATCAGCATTCTCATCAAGACAGGCCACCACGTTTGGGTTGGCCATTTTGGCACAATGATAATTCCTTGAACTTTCTCCTGTTGGAACTTCTGCAATACTCTGGAGATNGTCGCTTTCCCTATTTCGCTGGAGTAGTCTGTCGTTCGTCGCCAATTCATAGCTCTCATGTCGCCGTTTCAAGGCGACGTCGCTTGTCGGAATTTACCCCTAACAGGGTCTCTATGTATACTTGGGAAATTGCCGGAAAGAGATCAACAAACCTATGTCAGTTCCGACTAGTTTAATGACGTTTCGGCCTTTCGCTTTCTTCAGATAAAAAGCTATGAATAAGATAGAAAGATTTGCGAAGTCGGACTAGTTCAAACACATTTATTTGCTACTCCGAGTTTCACGCTTCTCGGGAAGCAATCATCATATATATAGTCAGTGTAAAAGTAGCTTACGAATGGACACCGAAGCCTCCCAGGTATGCAATGTTTCCACGTAAATCTGTAGATAGGCGTAAATGACGGGACTCTTGACTGTTTCCTCGATTTAATACTGAATAATACTTCATAATGAATAGAACTAAGCACTTTCTGCATACTATTTGAACGCTGACAGAATTATTTATACTTTACCGTTTAAACGTTTTTAAAAAGGTTCTCCCAAAATAAGCCGGCTTTGAGTATATAACAAAATATCTGGCCCCAGTTGTTCAAAGGCTGGATAATGCTATCCACGGGATAAATCGCTAACCAGTGGATAAGTGTTAACAAAGCAAACCACGCTATCCACCGTTCGAACAACCCGGTCTGTATTTTAGCGCCAAATGGAGGTTTCATACTGCGAAGGCCACTTCCGGCCAAAGTGCGAGAGCTTGGTTGCTGAGCGCAAGATGGCGGTTAAAATCGTAACGAGGTTTCATTTTGTTGTTGTTGTTATTGCGTTATTGGCCGGATAAAGAAGGAGCAAAACTTCACTTAAGGTAAAAAATGCTTAGAAAATTGGGGTCTTCGTTTTAGTGTTTTTGGGGTCTCAGGGTTTTAGGGCTTTAGGGTCTTAGGGTCTTAGGGTCGTTTTAGAGACACTCTTGGGGGTGGGCTGAAAATTCTAGCTTGGTTTGATCTTAAAGGCATTGTTTTCCATTAATTTTCCCATTCATTTGGCTGAATTTGACCCTGTATGATTGTTCATAACCCTTATTGAATAATCAAATGTGCAATATCCCTCTTTGCTTGAGTTTCCCTTAGTCATTCAATCACAGTGGGTTTTGCCGAGTTAATTTTCTCTTCTTTGTAAATTGATATTTCCGCTTTAAATTCTAAATTCTAAGTCTAGGCATCACGGTCATTTTCTTATTTAAAGAACCCCTTTAATATGGTCACACTGTTAATGTGGTCAGATTTTTGTGGCCCATTATATTGGCAACGGGATTAACAGAGTACCACTGTAATTTAAAAATAATTGTTAGTGTTGGTTGTTTTTAGAATATTTGTACCTCATAGAGATGAAAATGAATTTGAGCTATCACCCACAAAACAAAATTTTGGACCGTACATTTTAGGAGTAATGTACACAATTTACAATAAGCATCAGGCATCACTTTGATAGTGAAGTCCCATACATGTAATTCAATTATATTTGGAGATTAGTCATCCCCTATCCCTGAAATTACCAATGAAGGCTGATATCTCTATTACCATGTAATCAAAGCCATAATATTTAATACATATTCGAGTCTAGAATACTCTAGAATATTTTGGCTTTCATGCAGTGTATTTGGAGATTAGTCATCCCCTATCCCTGAAATTACCAATGAAGGCTGATATCTCTATTACCATGTAATCAAAGCCATAATATTTTGACGCCTACTGTACCAAACACAGTTTCCTTAAGCATTTACAACAGTCCTCCTTTAGTAAACCAAAATTGTTAAATTGCTGGCAGGTGATTTATAAAAGTATAACCCTTCCAGAAGCCTTCACAAAGTAATATCATTTGCTAACAATTTTTTTGTGGGTGATTTAAATTTTGTAATGAATCATACTGAATTGGCCCAGGTTTAATATATATTTTGTTGCATGTAGTTCACATATTATCAGTTTAAAGGAGAAGGTCACCTCAAAAAACTTACTTTTTTTGTCTTCACTTAAAGCAAGTGAATATTCGGCTTTTCTGCTCAATAAAGGTTTAGCCTCTGAATTGCCTATCCTTAAGAAATTTGCCTTGAAAGAAGCGACTTTGGAGGCCACTGTTTTGCAACTGTCTTGGCAGTCAGGCTGTGTTTATGTGACGTCATTCCGTCTGACTCAAAATTGCCAGGAAGGAGAAGAACCTGCAACTGAATTGGCATCTTTCACAAGGTTGGTAAAATTTATTTTTTTCCAAGCGATTATCCACTTCACTATCTTCAATGCTATTATTTCGGAGCTTGGAGCATGTTTGACGCAAAGTAATATGTGTCAAGAGCAGGCATAACCCAGTGTGGTAATCAAAAGGCTTGTTGGAAGCCATTAGGACAAAATTTCACAGATGGAATGATATCAAGAAAACTCGGCCTGACTCCTCCTTTGGAGGCGAACTTCATTAAGGAAAACGTGCACTTTAGAGGCTGAAACTTCTGTGAGTGGCTAAACTTAGTGCAAGGTTTTCATTAGCATTTGACATAAAATATGTGTTTTTTGGAGTGATCGCAAATACACACATTAAAACTTAACTCAGTAGCAAGATATCTCTTGTATGACCAGTAACAGAATACATGTATCCATAAAACAAAATATATATTGTCCAAACTCAGTCATGTTTACTTAGTAGTGTTAGTGTCTGTTGAGCACCTGCAAAGAGATAGTTATACAATCATTCTTGCAACTCCCCTCAATATTCTGGGAGTCTCCCACCCACCATTTAGATCATCCAGTCCCCCAGTCAAGTTTTGAACTGTTGTCCAGATACAAGCTAGTTCAGGGACCATGGGCTCCTAGGGACATGCAGTGCTTAAAGTGCTATTATGATGAAACTTGCAGATATCCTCCATAATATGAGCTTAACAGTTTCATTACCATGGCAACATACTGGGTTTCAACCTTCCCTGATATAGGCTTTTCTGGCCACCTGTGGCTTTCCATTTTGATATTTGCCAATGGTACCTCATCTGCATGATACTGCAAGCATATTAATATGTAAGGTGGAGGTCGTGACCTTGTTTAACCTTTTTTCAAGCTGAAAATCACTGAATTAGTGAAATCAGGTTAGAGGGTACTGGAAAGGAGTGAGCTGCCATGGGTAAATATACATGTATATGTATATAATTTTTATAGCCATAAGTGTGTTTTCTGTAGAACTATAAGCCTTACCAACTTGATGTAATATTGGGTTGAGTGTACCAATGTATGTCACATCATCAGTCACCTCATTTGCATATTTTATACATTTTTCAAACTTAAATATCTTTGGAACTGATGCAGATATTTGCAAAAAAAGTATACAGCATTTTTAATCTTTTGTGGAATTCTATGTGATACACCTAAAACTTCTGACTCAATGGGTAAAAATTTAGTGATAGAAGCACGTTAAAGTATTGAGTTGAATTTATGCTGTTGGCAAAATTTTACTGTAAGATGTCGAAGAGAATTTTGGAGGGGAATTTGGTGTGGTTATTGAATTGACAGAGGTTGGTTTTGTTATTGCTGTTGTCATTATCTTCTATATTTTTGAGGCAGAGTGGTTGTTGGCAAAAGCAAAACTGGCAATATCTTCACCGACCTGTGTTTAGATGTTTTTAGGTTTTTGTCTCTGACAATGAAGGTCAATTTAATTACACTCGAACTCCTATTAAGCGGCCACCTATTAAACGGCCATCCCTAATACGCGGCCAGTAATCAGAGTCCTGATGAGGTTTTTTCTGTTGTTTTTACCTCTATTAAGTGACCAGCCCCTTTTAAGCGGCCACTATCCATTTCCCAGAGGGTGGCTGTTTAATGGGGGTTGAACTGTAGTTACACTGTCTTTACAATAGGACATATGGATATTAATAGTATAGTTATATTTTAATATCCTCATACCAAAATTATAGTTATTTTATGGCTCAGTTACTACCTCTGCTTTAATTTGTTTGAACCAATTTATTTTTTTAAAACCAATTTAATTCCATCAAAGGGGAAGGGGGAATCTGAGAGCAATAATAAATTCGACCAACAAATATAAGGATATTTGCAGTGATTACCTTCATGGCCTGGTGGAGATGAAGTGGACCAAAAAGTCAGAGATCTGATGTTTAAATTTAGGTCTGTCTATACAAAATAATAATAAAAAAAGATTGTATTGTAGTATGGGAGTATTATGGTAAGTTATGTTGGGGGGTTGATATGGGATTCTGGCTGTACTGTTGTAGGTTAGGAATAGGAACTGAGGGGGTGGGCAGTGTGCTTGTGATCCTTTTAAAGAACCACTCTGAAAGTGAAAACAAACTGGTTTGAAAAATGTACAGCAGAGGTAAAAATTATACATTATATATTGTTTTTTATAGGTGGTAAATGAGCAAATACCCACAAAAGACCTGTCCAAGTGTGATTTTTTTTTTTTACTGATAATGGAAATCATAGTAAAGATACAAAGCCACCTTGGTGTGATTTATTCTTTGACAGGGAAGTGCAACCTAACCAAAAGTTGCATTCTGTAAGAGGTTTACAAGAATTAAATGGAAAATTAAACTACACCAGTTTGTATTAATTTTATAAGTACTCCTCTCTCCAAAATATATTTGGTGTGTTGTCATACTGGTAAGAATATAATGTAGAAATTTTATGGGAAATGTTTCCATTTTAAAAATATGCAGCTCGGACAGAATGACATTAATTCTCATTTCTGTGGTGTTTTCTTTGGTGTGAAAGTGTAAAAACAAATTCTATTACCCTACATGTAAGTTAAATATAGGATCTCCTCTGAAAAATAGTTTGTTTTTTTCTGTTCATTTTTTTCGTTGAACATTTATATTTTCCTAATAAGCAGCTGTTTCTTCGCAACACATTTTAAAATAATAACTAGCCATAACAATTATGTTTTTATCTCAGAGAGCATTTTCAAGATTAAACTACACCAGTTTGTAGTAATTTTATAAGTACTCCTCTCTCCAAAATATATTTGGTGTGTTGTCATACTGGTAAGAATATAATGTAGAAATTTTATGGGAAATGTTTCCATTTTAAAAATAGGCAGCCTGGACTCAATAATATTAATTCTCATTTTTGCAGTGTTTTCTTCAGTGTGAAAGTGTAAAAACAAATTCTATTACCCTACATGTAAGTCGAAAAAATATAGGATCACCTCTGAAAAATAGTTTGTTTTTTTCTGTTCATTTTTTTCGTTGAACATTTATATTTTCCTGATAAGCAGCTGTTTCTTCACAACACATTTTAAGATAATAACTAGCCATAAAAATGATGTTTTTATCTCAGATAACATTTTCAAGATAAAAAAAGTGATTTTTATTTATATTTTCTTTGGGCAGGAACGTTTTTAGAATTTCCCTAAAAATATCACAAGGTAGAAAGGAAGGGGCAAATATAAAAGTTATGTTTTCAATAATAGTTTGAGTCTCTCTATGAAGCTGCAAAGTATGGTCATTATTTTATACTGTTGTGGATAATGTTATGCCCATTTTAATTCAAAATACAAATGGAGTTTACATTGATAATCACTAAATCCCTTGGCACTGTTTTGTTTTTTAATTGCCTTTTTCCACAAAACAATTTCAACATCCTTGTTACACAAGG